ATTTTACTTGGCAGCACAGGTATAAACAAGTTTCGTGGGGGAATAACTTTACATTTGATTAACCCCTTATATTTGTCAATTTCGGCAAAATTTTCTGTAATAATGTTAGGGTGACCTAAAGGAATTGTTCCTGTCTTATTGATAAATGGATAAATGGATGTAAAATCATAATACTGTATATTTTCTTCTACATAGGCTTCTTTGTAAAGGATGAATGCTTCTGTTCGACCCCCGAAAAAAGCCTCTCTAGGTTGTAAGGGAGTTGTCATATCAAGCTGTTCTATAAAGGTACTCGTCCCACTGTTTACTTTTTATTCTTTCTCATACTCAGATTCCCAGATAGATACATACGTATAACCAAGCTTTTCTATATACCTCTGTTTAATCAAAGTATTTTGATACAGCTCACCCATGGTAAGTTTACTGACAGGGTTCATTGTATTACTTGAATATTGGTTAGGATTCTTATGCCACAAGTCACCATGGAATTCAAGTACAACCTTTTGGTCTCTTGTTTCATAATAACCATCCCCCTTGTAGGGACCAATGGCTTTTTCACCCCCGTTTCTCGCATGTTGTATACGGATACCGAGACTATGTGACATGTATTTAACCTATTGTAATTCCTTTACAGATTGAATCTGTTCGGGATTATATCCATGTGTGGGAATAATACCAATAGTATTTTCTTGCAGAAAATTGGTTCTAAAGACAGTTTGACAAGCAGAAGCAATGGTGATGTTCTTTCTAAAAGGATCAACACCAGTAACTTGTAGGAAGTCAGTCCTATACTTCAGACAACATCGTCTTAGAATATAAACATCAGACCGGCAATATTTTGATATTTCATGTTGAAAATCAAACGGTGTGTTCTTGTTGGATTCATACCACTGCATAAATATGGCTCTAGAATCAGGTTTCATTGCGTTAGGGTTGTAGTAGTTAATGTATGGTGAATGGTCTAAGACAATGGTTACATTTTCACTTTTGTTGAAGAGATGGGGGAAGTAACCCTTAATTAATTCAGAAAATCCAAACATTGCGGGTAGTTTTGAAAGGGCCATTGGTAAGAAATTGAGGGAATCAATCATTTTAATTTTGGAACTATCAAGGACATGATCTTGGCACCAATAGGCATCACTGTAGGAACGATAGCATTTCTGTATAAATATTGCAAAATTGGATAAATATCGTAACCTTGAAAGTTGTGACATATAACGGTTGCGTTGGTTTTGTCTTCAGAAAATAACCACCTACAAAATTGATAAATGGTATCAAAACCTGAGAATATCATTTCATTTTTTCCACACATCTCACATTCGCTTTTCTCACTCAACTCTTTACCCATGCACAAAACACATACTTTATGAACCACACATAGATTTGGTATATGCTCAAAAGCACCACATTTTGACTTTTGACAATGTATACATATTCCATTTTCACTTCTTTCATACCCTCTCTCGCATTGAACAATATTTTGTTGCCTGCATTCTAGATCGAAAAATATGAAAGTATCAACATTTTCTTTATTATCACTTTTATCAGATAGTTTATCTTGATTCTCGGGTTTCATTTAGCAAAGTGTCCTTCTTCAAAGAAGTCTTTAAAATTACATATTTCAAAATATTTTGAACCGCAAACATGAAGTTTTTTACTTATTTGTTTGTTGATAGTTTTGCCACAGTCATTGCATCTATTGTATGTACGACATGTAGAATTTCCATTGGCTGTAACTTTTTGATGAAGTTCTAAACATATCTCTCCTCGGAAAAACCCATTACATAAAATTATATTACAATGGAGCCTTTTTTCGTCGCTTTGGGTATACACTTTCTTACACGAATAACATACATCATTGCACGAATGCTTTTCCATGTGATCGTACCCTTTCTAACATATTGTGCAGGAATAAATTTTGCTGAGAAATGCTGGCATACTAGTGATTATACAGACACGCATTATACTCTTACTTAGAAAAGTTAGGTACGCGTGCATTGTATGCGGATACTGATTCTGTCATATTTTCCTCAAAATCTGGAGACTGGGTTCCCTCCCTAGGTGATTATTTGGGCGATTTTACCGACGAATTACCTGGAAATCAAATCGAAACGTGAGAGATGACAGACGTGATCATACAATAAATAAAAATATTATAGACCGAAGAGACGTCTTAAAAAACTGACCAATCAGGAGCAAGTAAAGAGTCTAAAAATACGTAAGAAAGAGTTGATATATTTTATTCTCATTCAGACCATAGACTTCAGAGAGGACTGTCATGGTTAACAATTGTAACGAATGTGGGGTTATGCTTCCAAAGTTAAGTCAGTTACTTCAACACAGAAGGAGCGAAAACCATTGGGAGAAATTCAGCTGCGACATATGCTGTAAAGTGTTTAATCGACGAAACCACCTCGTTGAACATAAAAATAAGCATTTGACAACCAACGCTTTACAATTATCACCCTTAACTTTAAAAACAAAAATACATAAACTTTGGAACAATCAAAGATATGGTTAGAAGCCCTTCAAATGAAATTGTAACCGTAACAGATTACCATACAATATGTAGAGACCGTGATAAAGTTAAACTTTTAACACTGACCCAAACAAAACAATATAGGATTGTATTTGATAAGAGAGTGAGAGATGGTTGTCTGTCTTTTCCATATGGCTATTGAAGAGTTATTGTATCATTACTGTTATTAAATGTTAGTTTTGTGATAATAAAATATGAATAATGTATTATTGTTTGTTGTCTTTTAATACTACTATAACGTCATTGTTTAGCATATTATATACTATAGTGGTAAGAGATTTAAAACAGTTACAGGATTGATCCTGTAAAGCAATTGTTAAGCAAGGTATGACTTATCATAAAAATGACCTCTCCAGATAAACATATCCTCTCGAAAATTGACTGCTCCCAAAATCAAAATCCAAGATGGCTGCTTTATATAGACAAAGAAGGAAAAAAGTGGTCTAGAGTGACGTCCTCCACTACTATGGCCCTCTTGTTTTTATTCTATTCAACTTGTTCCATAAAGTCAGTAATGAACTAAACCTCATTCAACAATGAATATTAAAACAATCTACAAAATATGAAACTTTTTCATTGACATTACATTTAGTCCCCGTAAAAGGAAAAAGACTGTTTTTATACAAAGTTTGTTTATCCTCTCACATCTGCTGCGCTGTCCATGCACTTTCTTATAAATAATCTAAAAAGACTGTATGCATCAATTTTATTTTGATTGCATTTCGTAAAAGGATAATAATTTGCAATTAAAATATGTACGATGAAAAGTGAGTTCGTACTTTTAGATTTGAAGAGATAAATACATGCAGATTGATTTTTGTATTTTCTGATCGCTGATCAGGAAATACAATGCCGACATTCAATCCCTTCACGACAAACCTCAAAACAGTTTAAAACTAGCGATTGAAAAGAAAGAAATGTTTTTATTTTGTTACAAGTATCCAACAAATTACAACGCATGCAACGTTTAAAACTTAAAAAGTAGCATTGGCTTATAAAATTGTTAATAAATGAACAATCACAAATTACGCGGATAAATATGATTTTAATCAATGAAATTGCTCCGTAAAGCTTCGGATTATTGTGCCCCCTTAATGAACATTTGGTATTTAGACTTTCTGAAAAAAAGAAAGAAAGGGATGTTATGTTGACTCTAGGACAGTGCAGAATTTAGGGCAGTCGACGATCAATAATCAATTTCTACACACGATAATTTAATCCACGTAAACAAAATTCTATTTTTAGCGATGTCGATTACCGAGGACTTCAGAGCGTATTACACTGTCGAGTTGGGATATACATGTATATATGTCGGACTGTTTTGGCGAGAATATGTTCGCTTAATTATTTACAACAGTGTTAAACAACAGGTTTATCGTGAACAAATACCTCGAAATTAATAAGGATTACAAATCCTAAATGGAAATTCTAAATTTAGAATTATTTGATTTTATTCGGGCTTTCTTCGTATAACTTCCCGTGTTGCAAGGGTAGCGTGCTCGTTTAGGGTGTGAGAGGTCTAGGGTTGAAATCCCATTCGAGGCAACTATTTTTTTTGTTAAGTGTCTTTTTTAAGGAAGTAGCCACGATATACAAGGATAAAGTGTGTCCTTCATAAAAAAATGAACATTAATAATTTTTTGATGCAACTCTAGTCATGCATCAAACTCAAACTGTTATAGTAAACTATCAAAACGCAGTCGCTGCATCTCGTTTACTAAGGACATAACTTTAGTATTGCGAAATTGTCTCTGAAAGATTTGGATTAGCAGAATTCTAAGATCAGCTATTGTCATTTATGTTAATAAGGAGCAAATCAGAAGGATGCGAAAAAATTAAAATAGTACTTAATCAAACAAAGTAACATGGCCGAATTTATCAAATATTTGTATGTTTTCTTTTACGGGAGAGAATTCCTAAGTATTCCAGAGTATTTGTTATGTATTAAGGAAGACATAATGACATCCTTTCTCTTACATATGATTCTTGTTACTGTTACTTATCTCTGGTTAAACGCACAACCAAATTGAATACAGTTTTCCTTCATGAAAAAAGGGAAGATGAGTTTTAATTATGGTTTTGAGGATGTTATATGCTTATAACCTGAAATAAGTTAGGTTTTATGAAAAAAATATTTGTAATAAAAGTAGCATATTGTAGACAAAGCAGTATTTTGGATTCCATACAAACTTCGTATTCACTATACTTATACTGTACTTACTACCAAAAAGCAAAAGAAGAATAAGAATGCCCAAGTAATTTGCCAATGAGTATCTTTTTGGAAATAATACTTGGACATAAAAACCTTTTGAAAAATAGCCAAAAAGGGCATTTCTGATGCATTGTGTACCTTTAGACGTGTAATTCATGAGCAGTCATATGCTATTTGATACATTTTTGCTATAATTACAAGCAATCATAAATATTTTTTTATAATAGTTTTACAATTTTTTCATTTAAGGACCAACTACAATACTGATAAGACCAGATGGGGAAACTATTGACAGCTTCGGGTTTTTATTTGAGACGAGGGATGCTGAGTTCCGAGGACAGAAAAAATAAAGATGGTACCCCTTAAAAGATTTTTAAATGCAGTTTTTGACAAAATGAAGTTATGCATTTTTATGGCTAGATTTACGATATTTACTTTTTTTTTATTTTTATAACGAAACCAAAAATCTTCAGTGTTTTTTTTTCAAGTAGAAAAATGAAAATGTGATAAAAGTATGTTCGTGTTTTTTTAATGAAAAAAGAACAGAGAGAACGCCTGGGCTATAAAACCCCAAAATTAAAGAAAAATACTTAAAGTGAAACAATTATTTAAATTTGTAACAAAACAATGTTTTCTGTTGTAAACTTTAAACAAAACATACGAAATTTTTTCAAAATAATGTATGAAAAACGTACCCCCCCCTTTTCATGACATTTTGAATCAGATTTCCAATTACCCAATTTTTAAAAAATTCCTTTATTTGACTTTTCCGTATAGTTAAAAAGGGGCTACTATGTCACAAAACAGATTGCGTACACATAATAATTGTCCTGATACGTGTATTTCTAATTAAGTATATATTTTTCATATACATGCAAACCAAAAAGTAAAGTCTGTGACGCTTTTTCAAAACTGAAGATGTTGTAACATAGCGATTTGACCTGGGATAATCTTTGTCGTGTTTTTTTTATTATATACTTGCCATTCAAAAGGGCATGTTCAGAAGTTAATGAATCAAGATCACAAACATTTTATAAATGTTTGCCCAAATTTATTAGTTAAAAAATCCCACTCATCTGGACAAAAGTTGAACCAATGCGACATGACCGCAAACATTTTGTCCGCTTGAATCAAATGTGAAGGACATTATTCACCACTGTATATTTCTATCACAAAATTACAATATACTTTCAAAACGAAATTCATTAACATTAAATTACATAACCAATCTAATCTCATAAATTTCTAATAGGGTCTTAGCCGAGATTTTACAATAAATGATGCCACTGGGAAACCCCTACAAGCAAAAACGGTGTTCAGTTTGTCTATTCGTTATCTCAAGGATGACCTTATGGACATGTGTAAAAGACAGCTGATGGATCAAGATTTGGAAGAGAAAGATATTCACTGGGTGCTGACAGTACCTGCAATTTGGAATGATGTTGCAAAGCAATTTATGAGAGACGCCGCCGAAAATGTTCGTTTTCAGTCTATATGCAGTAGAAACAAACATCTAGATATATATTAAAGCTCTGAAAGAAATGAAAACTATAGCATGTCATTTAAAGCAATAAACACTTATTTAAAGAAGTTAGGTATTATCATGTCCTATAGAAATTCATTCATTTTCATATCTTTAATTGTTTTCAGTGTCATATCTATATTTTTTAGGTTGGTAAGACTTATATATTAAGAGGATATTTTTTCGCTTGCGTGAAATATGGAATATATTTTCACGAAACATGATAAAATGCCACATATTTTCACGAGCCGGTACGGCGAGTGAAAATATGTGGCATTTTATCATGTTGAGTGAAAATATATATATCATATTTTCACTAAAAACAAAAAAAATAACCTTTTATTTAATTTCATTATCAAAAGAAAAATGGTAAACCGAATCCCCTTGCTTGCTACCAACTGCAAATTGTACAGTGCGCAAGTTAATTTTTATGCGTTAAAGCAACGGCGCTTTTTGGGGCGCTTACATTTGTGACGTTCATGTAAACAACTCTTTAAAAAAGTTGTACAGCGTTTATTTAAACTAATTAAAGAATATTGGTGTTTCGGATTAATTTTCTTTTCTTAGTTTAGATCAAATTTTCTATCAATGCTAAGATAGTTTTTTCAAAACAAATATTCAAGAAAAGTTGTTTTGGTATTAATTTCAGATTTTTCAAAAAAAAACGGCGAAAGAAGTCCCTAAATAGATATGAAGTTTTTGAACTCCGCCAACTTTCAATTTATATTTTCATAATTTATTTTTTTAAAAAAAATATTAAATATAATTTTTGGGACTTTGATATAGCACCAATAATTTTCATTAGGTTAAAATTTAAAATAAATTGTTAAAATAAGCGTTTTAAAATTTAGCATGGAAAAATTTCAGAAAATTACATTGACTTTCATTGCCTTTGTTATCTTATTTCAATATTCTGCCTGATTTTTTTGTCGAAAAAATACTTGTTCCAAATTTTGATCTTTACCAAATTCTAAAATTGTAAAATCAATTATTTATTTTTCCTGAAAACAGGCGGGCTTTTGGAAAACGGAAAATGTAAACAATTGCCTTAAAGAACCGGAGTCTGCGTCCTTTGTATTTTTTCAACATTATCCCGGCCACTAAATTCTCAAAATTCACTAGAAGACTTCCAGCTTGGCAGCATATATCTCCATTCTGGACGCTTGGGGGTACGGCCCCTTTTATTGTTTCCAAAATTTTTAATCATCATATAAAATCATATTAATACATTTGAACACAATAATAATTCACTTAAACAGTTGGTGTTGTTTTTATTTCATTTCTAAAAGTTGGTATTCCCTTATATGTCAAAAATTTGGCTTGAAAAAGTCAAAGAATTATAATTTGGTTTTTTTTAATAAATTATATTACAAATAGGACAAAAAAACCATCAAAAAGGTAATTTTATTAAATATAAGCTAATGAAAACACCAATGATCGTTTTACGTAATTGTAGGTGGGAAAACAGTTGATTATCACGGCACATTCAGATTTGTCCAGAGACGGAAAATCCTAAAAAGAAATTCACCAAAAGCCAACTGGCGGTGGAACTGGGGAGGGACAAAATTTGATTCTAGCATTTAAACACTTCCTAATGTGAAATAACAGGTATGAAGATATTCGTTAAACCGTTGTAATGAAAACATACAGTTTAAAGTTACGATTACTTCTGTAATAAATCGAAGTTGAATCAAAAATAGATATATTCTCGAGAATAAAATTTGGCATTTACTCGTATGTAAATTTTTATAAACACTCAAAAATGTGATATAACACAAAATACTCGCTCGATAACGATTTCATCAGCACTGTATCAAATTAAAGTTTATATATATACAAGGTTAATATGTTCTACTTTAATATACTCTCTAGGTGAGGGCGTCATAAATTCCTTCAAAAATAAAGCAATGGAAGATTACCTTGATCTTATGAGATGTTTTGAAGTTAAGAAGAGAGAGATAAAAGCATCAAGTGATAGACAAGTAACTATAAAGATACCTGCAGCTTTGATTGACCAGACTAAGGAACTCACTGGAAAAACAGTCCGAGAAAAGATACAATATACAAAATATAAGGACCAAGTAGAGCTTACAGGTGATAAAATTAGACTTGATCCTGATATCATGAAAGGATTCTTTACAGAATCGTTGGAAAGCATTGTCGACCATTTAAAGGATCTCTTTCGTTTACCGCAGTTGCAAGAATGTCAAACAATACTTATGGTAGGCGGTTACTCCGAGTCGTCCATTCTTCAGGAAAGAATAAGAACTTGTTTCCAAAAGAAGAATGTGATAATACCAGCTGATGCAGGACTTGCTGTTCTAAAGGGAGCAGTAATTTTTGGTCACAACCCGTCTTTTATTGCGGAAAGAATATGCAAGTTTACGTACGGAACTGAAACCTCACATGTCAAGGACAGTTCATGCACCCATCGTGAAACTACAACTTTTATTGCAGAAGGTGAAGAATTTTGCAATGATATATTTGACGTCCATGTTCGTGCTGGAGATGTTGTCCAAGTAGGTGATTGGCAAGAAGAACAGTTATATACACCGGTTTATCCGACACAGACGTCTATATCGTTTGGTATTTATTGTACAAAGAATCGCTCACCTGAACTAGTAAACTGATTCAGGCTGTGTAAAATTGGGTGAGGTTGAGCTTCCTATGCCAGATACAACAGATGGTGTCAATCGTGAAGCGTTTGTAAGTTTTCGCTTCGGTGGCACGGAGTTAGAGGTGAAAGTTACTGATGAATCATCAGGTACGGAAAGAAAAATATCGCTGTCATTTTTAGGTTGATTTTTGTTGAATTCATGTTACATTTCAACACTATAACAATAATGACGAAATCTTAATATTGTCATTCATATGTTGATTTAAAGGAACTCCACTGAGGTTCAAAAGCCTATAGACATAAAATTTGAATTTGTTTCATAGATCAGTTGGGGTACTTAAAACAGATATATATGCGGAAAAACTGTACTCTGAAAGTAAGTAAAAAAATCGTATTTTTGTGTTATTCTCAGCCGACTTTGTTTGTAACGTTGCAACGCTTTTTAGTGTTTGGTCATGTTTCACAATATGAGTAAATATTCTAAAAAAACGGGGTGAGTGAACGATCTGAAATTTGCACATAAGTTATTGGTCTAGACCTACATCCAATGGAAAATAAGTTTTAAATAAAAAATATTTACAGTCCTGTCAAAAACATCAGTAGCGTTCTTTTAGAAAATTACAATCCCACACATTGTAGTTTGGACGTTAAAAAAATGTCTACAAAACAGACTCGTTCATTTATATGAAAATAGATGATTAATACATGTCTTATTCGACAAAAACATCTAATTTAAGTATGTGCAATGTTAATCCTGCTGTAATTTTAACCCGTTGCAAAGGTTTATTTTGTTTTATGTGGGAGAGAAGCTTTAACATCTGTTAATGTTATATTTATATGGGATATTTTATAACATACTATTTCAAGTGTTTGTTTTTTTCCGGACAGATCTATGCTATGCAATAAGAATGAATAATAAACAATATATTATTTTAATCAGATAACGTAGACAAATGAAGAAAAGAATTTGTCAAATTATGTTAGGTTATTATACATTTTACTGTACAATACGCGAATATATTTGGACGAGTGCTCTGCTTTAAAGATCATATTGCACAAGCCGATAGCGAGTCCAATATGACTTTCCAAGCTGTGTACGAGTCCAAATATATTCCGTATTGTACATTCAAATTTATCATAACCTTTTTATTATATATCTTTCGTTTAATTTGAAATATCATCATCATCATCATAATCACACCAGCAAATCATCCACTCCACCACCATTATCAGTTACAAAACCACTACCACTATCATCAACATCATCAATATAACCACCAAAATCACCACCATTACCATCATCATCAATAATAGCCCTGAGACCCCTGTTAAAAAATTTTAGAAGAAAAGGTAATAATACATGAATGGTTTTGTTTTATACATACATAAGTTTTAGGCTTTGACTGATACAATGACTACTTTTTAGGCGTTATTTACTTATTAATCATTTTTTGTGAGTTCAAAAAAATGACAGTTAACATTGTCAATTATACATTGTAACAACTTACATTTATCATTAACATCTGTTTAACAAACATCATAATTTTATTACAGTAAATCCGAAAAATATCAAATTGACACCCCTTATCTCAATCATCACATTGATAATACAACATGAATCACAGAAACATATTATAAAACAGTAAATCAGAAAAAAATATCACCAGCTGTTGTAAACATATAATAACAAGCATCTTTATTCAAGCATGGTTCCCGGTCTTAAATTTGTTAGAGATTGAAATCGGAAACCAGACCTTTATTGTTTTGTGCACATGTACCTTACCGTTTAATAATAAAAACAATTTAATTTTTTTTCCAATACGGGAATATTTTGGACGGTCACGAGATCGTTTACCTTAGAAAATTGTAATATCAGGTTGAAGCTACTAACAGTTTTAATAAATTTAATAAAGCGTGATGTTGTTATCTATAAAAAAAACACATTTGTTACAGGTTACCTAGCTTTTTAGCCTTGACATTTCCGTATTTTGAAAATTTGCTTTGAAATGTCGAAGGATCACATGGCGGTTCTTAATTTCGTTTTCGACAAGATCATTTAAATGGAGATCAATCTGTACCATTGATCATTATCATTGTGGACTCAATTTTTTTGCTTATCATTAATTTGGATTGAATTATTATTGGTTAGATACTAATTGAAGGCTTTAAAGCCGCTGACCTCCAGATTGTTAAATGAAAAAAAATACATAAAATTTCAAGTAAACAGTAAATACTGTTCTAGTTTGGTTTATTGTATAAATCCATCATTACTCAAGAAAGAATGTTGACAAAAGCGTTAATATATCGGGTTTTTCTTTTCCATAATCTACTATTTACTAACGCAGTAGCCAATATAAATAGGAGAAGATAATTCATTTAACGCGGTCATGTGCCAAAACAGTGGTCCGGAAAACTCCCGGTATCCGGTATGCCCGGGATCGTTTATCAATTTTCGTCATTGGGTAGGCCCATATTTCAAGCTTAATGTTAAATCGATGAATTGGTCGTCATATACATGAAATAATTAATCAATTACAATTTTAAGTGCCATGAATTACTATAAATAATAAAACAAAAGCAGTTATTCGTAATCCTTTATTTTTGATAAAATCCCGGATTCCGTGCGTTCCGGAGCACAGGTTTCGATATTGTCCTGTACGATCACGTGATACTAGAAAAAAACCCGGATGAAAGGATTCCGTGGTATAATAAAAGAAGGTATTTGCCGTTGCAGGAAAAGCGAACTGTTTGTTTTCAGAGCAATAATGTTAAAATATAAATATTTTTAAGTGCCATTTCGATTTCTTTCAACTATATAATGATTTTGAGGGGGGTTTTGAAATATTAGCAAGACGGCAGTTTTTCTGCTTTCTTCTGGAGGTCAGCTGCTTTAATAATCGAATGGTTTCTATATCAATGTTTGTGCATGTATTATTTATAGAAGTAAAGTGTATGTTGTTTGTACATATGTATATCTAGTTGATGTGACAATGTATTTAATTGTAAATATGTTTTGCTCTCCAAATATGGAGGTAATTAATAAAAGTATCTAAGATTAATATCTTCCTGTAGATAACAACAATCCGTAAGATAAATGGAATCATAATGAATGTTTCGCAAATATAGCGCAATGTGCAGTTTCAAAGTTGAATGAAACGGTTTGCTTTTTTGTCAGCATATCCTTTTTGTGGATACGTGAAAAAATATAGCTTGTAATCAGAATTTTGGTTCGTTTATCATCATCATTATAATTATTATAATTATTATAATTATTATTATTATTATTTGTTTGTTTGTTTGTTTATTGATTGATTTCTCTACTTTGGGTTCGCTGAGTTGTTATGCGGTAATGTATTGAAAGCAACAAGAATTTGAAAACATGAAATTTTGAAACAGTTTATTTACTATAATTCTAATTTATTTGCCATTGCTCTGATGGAAGGATTTCAAGGGTTTCAAAAACGACGTTTTTATGACCTACTCACCTTTGTAACATGTGTTTTGACTAAATAGAACTTGTTATAAGATTTGTTATGTATAACATACTTTAAATACCTTTCCTTGTTCATTGAACCTGATATATGAGAAAATTGACTAAAAAGATATCAAATTTTGAACTTACCTTACTTTCAAAAGAATAGCATTAGATCTATTTTACACGCCACCGGCCGGCCTGTTTTACACTCAAGAGGAATTCAGCAAATTCCTGAATGTAAATATTAACCATCAATCAAATTTGGGGATTTTTAAAGCAGTTATAAAACTGTCTGCTTCAATATTGTAACTTTAAAGAAAAAGCAATTCCAGTACGCACTAAAGAGATAGTAAGAGATAAAAAGGCTGAAATTTTATGTGAGCTTAAGTGTAGGTCAATTCAAGTAAACCCGCGTGCCAGGTCAAATGGTTAAACAGTTACTATCTAATGGGGTTGAATAGAATACTGAAACATATAAATGCTTAAAGATAAAAACTTAACTTCTACTGTTCCCTTGTAAGTTCCCATATTTCTTACAATCTTAAAATCATGAAAAATACGCTCGTCGCCGTTTTGCTACGTAACAGCCACCTTAATAGCTTACCATTCAAATTGACAAAGAGTACTTATAAATAGTGGTTCAAAGTAAGACATATCCATAGGAGTCCGGGAACGAAATATTGACTGTTCAAAATAAAAATCATCGTACCTTTTGTAAAACTCCAAAATAAAACAAAAGAACATATCGTTCGAGAATGTATTTACAGAAATAAATCATTACACAAAATGTGGATATATAATATCAAACGTGCACAGTTCAAACAAAGAAAACTTGCTGTTTACGTACAGTAAGGGAAAAACACAAAAGTACAGTAAATAATTTAGTTTTTTTAAATATCAAAGTACATATTCCTGTGACTCATAAAACAATGCTATCTTTTGCTAAAACAATGGATATTATTTCATTTGTTCTACATGCAAATGAATCAAAGCTTATCAAATGTGGATATATTGACCAATTCAAAAAAGACTGAAACAATGATTCAAAATATTTTATTCGGTACTATAATTTCTTATCCAAATTATTTTTCCATCAGTCAATGATAATGTGGATCAACCAAATACTTTGGAGTATTGCTTTTGTATCGGCCTTTGTCATTTTGGTGATCAAACTTGCAGTCTTTGGAAAGAAGTAATTTAAGAAAGTAAGATTTGCCTCAAACAAAAGTAATGCGCACACGAGTGCGTGTTCGTGTGTGAGTGCGTTTGTGGATGGGTGTTAATTTGATGTTTTCTTTTGTAAATAATCATCATTCAGCCTCTATCTGCTCTTTCTTCATTTAAATAAATTTCATTTTATCCTCAAATTTTGTAGCTCACTAATTCATAATTACAAATAAAAAATATTTTTGTTTTAGTGAATATGTTATTTAAAGTGTTGTTGAAAATATCGCAAAAAAATTGCCACCTAGTACAATAGTACAGTAACAGATGTTTTCGAAAAATAAGGTCAAGAACATATTCAATTATTCCACATGTCTGTTGGGTCAGAAGTGTTTTTGTCCACAATGCAAAAGAATCAAATCCGTAAATAAATAACAAAATTATGACAACTTAACCAAAATTCACCGTTAAGAATGTCTTGTCCAAAAGGTTGTTTTTTCCTGAATAAAAATAATCCATTGATTTATTTCAAAGTTACAGCCAATTATATATATAATCAGTATAAATAAAATAATTTGAACTTCAAGGTCAAGGTCATACATGAGTCAAGGTTAGTTTGAATTTGATATACATCATGATCCTGACCTAAAAGATGTTTTGATTTAATATGAAGTTAACCCATTTATAAATAACAAAGAAATAGTCAGTTACTAAAAAAGAAGAGCATTTCATTCATTTGACATTGACAGTCACGATCGACATAAGTTTAAGGTCACAACTAAATTATTCAATATGTTTGTTTGGTAGCAAGTCTTGTTTTGTTCAAGTTTCAATTAAATCCGTACATAAATAACAAAAAATATGACAATTAAACCAAAATTCAATAATTTTACTTTGACGGTCAAGGTCATTTCAAGCTCAAGGTCGGTTCAAGCTTTTAAAAGGTCTTGTCCAAAATGTTGTTTTGTGAAAGTATGAAGACAATCCAATTATTATTTACATGTACCATTATGCAGTCAATTATAGCAAAAATCAGTGAACATTCATTAATTTAAAATTCAGAGTGAAGGTCAGAAATGCACCAAGGTCTATTTGAACTTGATGTACATTAAGGTCTTATTCCTAAAATATTCAGTTATTATGAAATCAATCCATTCGAAAATAACAAAGTAAAAGCCAGCTACAGCAAAAAAAAAAATGAAAATTTCAATAATTTGACCTTCAAGGGAAGTAAAGTGAGAGAAGGTCAAAGTCTATCTGGTTAACTTGAAGGTCTATCCTAAAAGATTATTTTTAAGTATAAAGACAATCAATCCATCCGAAAATAACAAATTTATAGCCGCTAATAGCAAAATTCAGCAAAATAACAAGCAAACTTTAGACAATTCACCTTGAAGTTCAAGGTCATTATGAATAAAGGTCAAGTTTAGTCTGCTTTACATAAAGGTGTTGTTCCAAGGATGAAGACAATACACCGAGAACTTGAAAAGTTATGATCAATGTACAAGTTGTCGCAACGGCAATGCATGGGTGACTATTTTTTTCCAAAAAAAGTCGAGCTAACAAATGATGCACAAATATTTACATAAGATCTCGTACAGAAAAAAAGTTTTTAGAATTATCCCAATCTTTTTATATCAATCGAAAACAAGTTGCAAAAATCTTCTAACTTTTTATATGTTAAAGCTTAATGGGCCCTATTAAATCCCAAGTAATGGTTACCTTTCCATATCTAGCTATACACCAATATATTGTGTAATGAAAATGTCGAAAGATTTCAAATAGCAAAATGTACTTTACTTTTTAGCATTAGATAGATTCAAAGTAATTACACAATTGATAAACGAGTTTTTTTGTAATCGCATGTAGCGCGTGCTTCTATTGTTTTAACTTGCCAGATATAGTTCGGTGATTTCGTTCATTCAAAGTGTGAATAAGCACATCTTAAAAAAAAACGTTTCTGTCAAAGGGGCGACAACTCTCGTCAGTGGTAACTGTTACGGATTTCCAAAGTTATCCCCAAAACGAAACTTTCAATTCACGTACTGTTCCTTCCCTTGGGTTCCTAACTTTGACTTCTATTTCTGTTCCGCCGAACAGAAAACTCACATCAACGCTTCGAGAACACCCACCAGTTGTATCAAGCATTGGTATTGTAACGCTTCCCAATTTCACACAATCTGTATCCGTGACCAGCTCAGGATTTTTTTCTTTTGTACAGTATATATCAAATGTTATACTTTCCTGCAATGGTTCAAGCGGATAAAATTGTTTTGCTTTACATTCGTCTCCTAGCTTAATGATATCTCCAGCACGAACATGTGCGTAGAATATATCATTACAGCGCTCGATGTCATTTTCAAAGGATTTTCTGGCAGGCCGATGTTTGCAATTTGTACTATAGTTATGCACTCCACCATTCCCATACGTGTACTTACAAACTCTTTGTGCTATCAAAGCTGGATTGTGACCATATATCACAGCACCTTTCAGAACAGCTAAACCTGCATCTGTTGGGACGATGATTTTTTTGCTTGAAAAGTTTTCTTTAATACTTTCTTGCAGCAATGAAGACTCGGAATAACCACCAACCATTAGTATGGCATCGCAGATAGCCACTTCAGGATTTTCAAAAAGTTTATGTAGGTGATGAATTATGCTTTCAATAGATTTTTCAAAAACTCCATATATAATGTCAAAATCAAGCCTCAATTTATCACCGGATAGTCGTATGCTTTTCTGGTGTTTAGATTGTGATATTGTATTTCGAATCGTTTCCCCAGTGACATCTTCCGTCAAGTTCATTAGTGCCACGGGTATTTTAAAAGCTACATGTTTTCCTTTCTGAGTCTCCCTTTTCTTCACCTCAAAAGCTTTCATCAGATCAAGGTATGCATCCATATTATCCTCTTTGAATTGTTCCATTACAGATGTGCCTGATTATACAAAGAGATGTAAAAGTATGAAAATGTAATGAATGACAATGTCATACATATTACATGTACATAAACAAGAAAATTTTGGTTTTTTTGTTCTTATTTTTTTTTAGATATTTTAAAAAAAGAAAAAGTAAAATTTTCTTGTTTGTTTGAATGTTTGTTATTTGTTTTTACGTTGATTTCAGCAACTTTTTAGTAATACCCCAGCTGTCGATTAACCTACTCAGATTTCCTGGATAATGACCACTCAGTTTATTCGCAAGTGACCTACTACATACAACAATAAAGTTGTGTTTTAGTTGGGACGTAGCCTCAACTAGTTTTAATATTGTCGCTTTAGATATTCTTAGTATTCGCAAGAACATCACATTTTCATATTAACTCAAACTTTTTTTTGTAATTAAGTTATATCATTTTAAATATTTTCATTTTTTTACCAAATGTAGATGACTTAAAAGTTATATCCAGCGACTCTTTATGAAATATCAGAGTTTAAACAACAGCAAAAAAGTACAGTCAATCATATATACCTGTGATTTCAGAAATCAAATCTTCGAATGCTTGATCAACTTTTGTTCCGCCCCAGTCACCACCATTTGCTTTATATATTTCTTTAAGATTCCCATTGTTAGTTATCTCGTGTACTGTGATGTCAACTGTTCCACCTAACGTTTATAAAATACCAATACTTTTTAAATGTATTTTTCTAAAACATATAGCTTAAATAATTTCTGAAGATTTTACTGTTTGCATACAAGAGGTGTTAGGAAAGCAACAGACCGTAGATTGTAAGAAATAGTGCCACTTCAATAGCCATAGCCGACAAATCAAATGTCCACTAGATAAACTCCAAAGAAGCAAGCGCGGAGAGTTGATGCGTAATAGTTTTGAAGATTATGTTATGTTATGTTTTGTTCAGAAATAGTAGGCCTGTGGAAATTATTTGCAAATACGAATGCTGACACGAATAAGCTCAAGTTTAGGAAAAATCGCCAGGCAAAAAGAATAGAAACGAACACGTCAAGTTAAAATAAATCTTTAATATCGTTTGATAATAATTACCTCCTGCATCCAGAATTAGGTATCTATTCCCCGGTTTAAGTTTAGACAGAGAGTTGTCAATTATTGTTGTGGGAATATGTTGGCAATATAATGATGCAACCTCTGGTTCAAGTGCAATTGCCAAGTTCTCAGCCTTTATGCCTGCCTTAACCATAAAAAATAATTATGTTATAGCATTTAAACAAAAAGACAGACAGACAAATTTCCATTATTTAAGATAAAGATTGAAAGGAGTTTCAGATCCCTAGATAATGTTCAAAATTATAATCATTATACATTTTATAACAAGCTGTGATCAAAGTGTGCTGGCATCTTTTCATAAAATACATTGTTTTGTTAGACAATGTGTTTATATAATCATTGATAAGACTAGAATTAGATTATTTTTATTTCCCTTCCCATGATTCATGCAAGGTTTATTATGATAGGTAGATAAATACTTTTATTAAACGTAACAATAATTTAAAATGTACAGCTGCAATGTTTTAAAATGCAAAACACATGCCTGTATGTACATTTAATGTTCAAAAACAAAAGTCAAATATAAAAATGTTATTCTCATTGACAGGCTCTGCTTCCAAGTTTCTAGTATAAACAAATTGTTTGGCAATGAACTATTTTGAACTGCATTCATTTTAGAAAGTAGGTAGTAGGATAGAAAACAAAGAATATCTTCCTTTTAAATAAATTAAGTTTTTGTACATCTTCTGCAGCTTCTCGCATGAACTGTTTTGCTACGTCATTCCATATGGCAGGCACTGTCAAAACCCATTTTATATCATCTTCTCTTAAGTGTTCGTCAAGAACTTTTCTCTTCGTCATGTCCATAAGATCATCCTTCAAGTATTTTATAGATAGGGTAAACACCGTTCTTGCTTTCAGAGATTTACCAGTGGCATCTTCAATAGTAAAATCTCTTTGAAGTCCCTTAATAAACAAAATGTATGCAATATGAAGATAGGTCATATTGTTTTTATTTCGTTTAATTAATTGTGATCCTGATTTATTTATCAGGTACTGGAATATTTGCTGCTTGTACCTTATAAAATGAAATAAATAATGATTTCACATAAATTAATTATTCAAGGCTAAAAAGACGAAAATTATCATATAACAGTTAAAGATGTAAGTGAAACCGATAGATATCTTTCAAAGTTTCCTTGATCGACGAGAAGAAAATAGAAAAAATGCTAAATTGAACTTAAAATTATTTCGAGATTCAATGTGATATCATTGACATTGTCATAATTAAACCATTTAGAATAGATTACTTTGATGAAAAATATTTTAATCTTACAATTTTGTCAAACAGCAGCATTTTGAATCTCTTGAAGAAGTACCATTCTTTATGCTGATTCTCCTCTGCAAGTTCGGCATACTTCGTTTCAGCGTCAAAACCAAAACTATCAATCGTTTTCCCGTCAGGATGAATCAAAATTGTTGTTGGTCCTTGAATTAAACAACGAACACTTTATGAAAATTCGAAATTTACTTTAACGTAAAAGGTTTGTTGTAAAATCATACTAGAGCGATCAGTGGTCACATGTGTCGCCTCATGATGGCCAATTTCATGTTGGGACAAGTTTTGTGATAGACGGACAGACAGACGGACAGTGCACAACTAGACTTGGTACTGATCATTCCTGTAAAGTTTGGATGAAATTGCACCAGTAGTTTATGAGGAGTAGTCCGGACAATTTTTTGTGTATCTGGCAACACACAGAAAAAAAACACCTTTTAACCAAAGGGCCGTGACTCAGCCAAAAATCATTCAACCGGAAAACCCGTGCAATATGCGCAAGGACTTGACCTACAGATGAATCCTGTAAAGTTTCATTGAAATTGCATTAGTGGTATAAGAGAAGAAGTCCGGACAGACTTTAAAAATAAAAATTATTAAAGGGCCATAACTCTGACAAAAATCATTGAAACGAAAAATGCTGACAATTTGCACAACTAGACTTGGTACTGATCATTCCTGTAAAGTTTGGATGAAATTGCACCAGTAGTTTATGAGGAGTAGTCCGGACAAGTTTTGTGACGGACGGACAGACGGACAGACATACGAAGGAGAAGTGATCCCTATATGTCGTCACTACTCCGTCCAGGCGACACAAAAAGGGTGTTTGTATACAGTCATGTCAATATCTTATATTTGAATAGATGTGTGTGATTACTGAATCTATAGTGTACAACTTACAATGTTTGTAAATAATTTATTAATATATATTAATATTAACAACCAATGATGATAAAGCATATTTGTAAATTTGCAAACTAATATGTAAATACGTAACAACCTTAATACAAGAGGGCCATGATGGCCCTGAGTCGCTCACCAAAAACAACTGCTTTTCAGTAATGGAAATTATCCATCGTCAATATTTTCTGATATTAAATTTGAGCCAATCAAATACGAGCGAACTACCTAAGACTACCTAATAATGCTACAAAGTTTTGTGATCATCTATCAATTATTTCAGTAGGAAATGATGTTCAAAGGTTTTTCAATTTTTGGCTTTAGTGGCCCCTAAAAGGGGCCAGTCAAATTAATATAAGCAAATTTGATAAAGCGCACCAAAGAATGCTACAAAGTGTTGTGATCATCCATCAATTAGTTCTGTAGAAATAGATGTTTAAAGGTATTTCTATTTTTAGCTTTAGCTGCCCCTAAAAGGGGCCAATCACAATAATATGAGCAAACTTGATATAAGACTACCCAAGAATGCTACAGACAAAGTTTGTTGATCATCCATCAATTAGTTCTGTAGAAGAAGACGTTTAAAGGGTTTTCTATTTTTAGCCCTAGAGACCCCTAAAAGGGGTCAATCAAATTAATATGCTCAAACTTGATAAAGACTACCTAAGCATGCTACAGACAAAATTGGTGATCATTCATCAATTAGTTCTATAGAAGAAGACGTTTAAAGACTTTTCTATTTTTAGCTCTAGAGACCCCTAAAAGGGGCCAATCAAATTAATATGAGCAAACTTGATAAAAGACTACCCAAGAATGCTACAGACAAAGTTTGGTGATCATCCATCAATTAGTTCTGTAGAAATAGACGTTTAAAGGTATTTCTATTTTTAGCTTTAGCTGCCCCTAAAAGGGGCCAATCACAATAATATGAGCAAACTTGATATAAGACTACCCAAGAATGCTACAGACAAAGTTTGGTGATCATCCATCAATTAGTTCTGTAGAAGAAGACGTTTAAAGGGTTTTCTATTTTTAGCCCTAGAGACCCCTAAAAGGGGCCAATCAAATTAATATGACAAACTAAATAAAAGACTATCCAAGAATGCTACAGACAAAGTTTGGTGATCATCCATCAATTAGTTCTGTAGTAGAAGATGTTTAAAGGTTTTTCGATTTTTAGGTCTGTTGACCCCTTAAAGGGGGTCAATTGAAATGACATGAGCAAATTCAAGTGTGACTGTCACAAGGATACTACAGACCAAATTTAAAGTAAATCTGCCCAGTAGTTTAAGAGTAGAAGACGATTGTTGACGCATAATGACGGACGACGGACGCCGGAGTATCCCCCATTTATACTAATAGCTCACCCTGAGCCTTCGGCTCTGGTGAGCTAAAAATTACATGTATATATTGATATGCATGCATCTTTGAAAGTAAATACAAACCTTTGAAATCAGATTAAGATTGGCAATTAAACGTCTGAATTGCAGACGGTATTATATGTTATCTACCTCAATAAATATTGCAATTATATTTATGATAAACATGTACGAGGAAGGGTCATTATGTAATGCAAAATGGTCAATGAATTTTACAAAAGCGCAAACACAGTTCACAATTTTTTTATTTTAACACTTCGAAATAATCTCCCCTTACAGAAATGAAGCGTTTACAACCAGACTTACAGGCCTCTTTTATTGACTCGTACCCGTTTTTGAATTTATGCATACGCCTCGAAACGGTTTCATTGTTCAATTTCATTGTTGTCATAAAGATTTCAAATATCATTATAGAGATTTATAGCCTGGTTCCCTAATTTTGCTCGAGTTTTTATGTAAGCCCTTATTTCATCACTTTTATCCGAGCGTTTACTCGTGTTAGGTATACTTTTAATTGTGAATAAATTCATAATCGGTTGACTACGCACATGATTTTGGTATCATTTTAAAGCAGATACTTTGAAGCATATCATAGTTTACACAAACACAGGAATCACGAGCTAGATTAAAAAAAATGTATTACATATTGACCCACTCTCGTATGATCTCATTAAATATACACAAAAAAACCCAATAAATTCATGAACAAGATTGATTTCTGTCTTTAAGTTTATACAAACCATGTTTATGTTACTTGACGACACACCTATAAATTACAATAACTAGTACCAGGACAATTAACTGTTAAAATGTTTTATTTCTGCAAATGAATAGAAGTAAGAAGAGGACAGTTTAATTAACCACAGTCTATAATAGCCTAATAAACCATTGCCCTTAAACAAAATACTGTATAACGATTCATTAGAACGGCGAATATAGCAAACATAAGTTATAACAAGAGCCGCCGGGGACAACGCTCGACATGCCTGTTGGTCAAGATTAGGGTCACTTCAACCTTTATGAAGGTCTTGTCCAAAAGGTTGTTTCTTCCAAGTATGAAGATAATTCATTGATTTATTACCAAGTAACAGCCAATTATAGCAATAATCGGTGACAATAAGATAAGTTGACTTTCCAGGTCAAGGTTACACATGAGACAAGGTTAATTTGAGGTTGATAGACATGAAAATACATGTAAACACAATGAAATTAAGAAAACACTTTCTCCTTTCTATTTTTAATATCCAATTTAACATCCAATTTTAAACACTTTCTATTTTAACTTTTACAATCCAAAACTTTTCTTTTCCATACACAATCATTTGTCCAACTAAATAAACTTCAGAGCAAAATCCTTACCATATCTTACCTTCTGTGCGGTCTCAGTTTAAACCACGATGTCATGAACAGAACGTGAATATATTTGTGGCGAGAAAGTTATCAGGATTAAAGTAATATCATAAGATATTGGCGTGCAAACCAAAGGAGCAAAACGGAGTATTAAAATACAATTAAGCCAAAAGAAGCATATTCAAAGACACAGCATTAAATTGTACGAAGTATGCATTAAATAATCGCTATGTTAGCTAAAAACATTGAGCTTACATCATTGTTTAATATAATAATAGTATCTGTAAGTTATATAGAGTTGATTTACTAAAGCTTACTTATATATAATTAGAAGAACGCAATGAAAAGTATATGGATTTATACAAAAGTGTCTAATAATTGCAATACATGAAATTAAATATTATACAAATTACATATAGTCACTGCAATACGCATAAAGAAAATGCTTATATCGTATATATAATATTATGCTCATACTCTCTTCCTGAGTGTTTCAATACATATTGTTTCACTGTCCCAATCAGTTTGAAAAAGAATGCACCAGTAATTAATTATCTTCATGTCCTCCTTTTTGGAAGAATGTAGTGTAAATGTTTGAGAAACTGAAAAATACATAGAACTTTGTATGAAATATGTCTTTGATTGTATCACCTTAACTTACATAATTGTACTTTTACAAAATTAGTTTGTTTTTTTTTTTGTGTTTTTTTTCGCTGACTTTCTGTTTGATACATTATCTAGTTTCTCACATTTCTCACTATTCTCATCCCATTTGTCATTTATATAACTAAGATTTTTATCAAATTCAAGAAGATAAATGAAGTTCAAAGGTCTGCCTATTAGACTCTTAGAAGGAAGTTTCACTTTAGCGGATCGAATTTCTATACTTTTAAATAATACTTTTAAATAATACTGTTTTGGCCGCTGAACGACCGTGGATTATCCGACAAGTATCTCAGGTTCTGGATAGCGTATGTGATATTCCATAGTACATAATCTCTTTATGTCCTCTTTGAATCACCATTTCAGTGAACTTTTCTTTTTGATGTAGCAAAATATGTAGTCTTGCTCCTTCCGACAGGCAAGAGTTGCCTAAACGCCCAGTACAGTGCAATAATCAGTTGCTGTCGATAACCAGTCCGAGCTGACTTTGTAGTCCGGACTGCTTTTTCTTTTGAATATTGTTATAGTCCTTATTATAAATGTTCCTTTGAACACGAACTATCCACAAATTTTCATCTTCTCGATAGTCTTCACAAGCCAGATATTCTGCGTCATCTTTCACATTTTTGAGTTTCTACACAAGAGCTGTAACATGCAATAATTTTGTCAACGTTGAAAATATATCAATGTCAATTCCACAAGGTGGCACATTCTCCCGTTTTGTTTTGCTTTCATTTTTATATGCCCGAAATTCTTTCGGGCATATTATGTTATACCCAAGGCGTCCGTCCGTAAGAAATTTGGTATCCGGAGCATAATCCTTTAAATCACTAACCGACTAACCGAGAGTTGCAACGTCAGCTTGATTATCTTTAGTGGCTACGTGAGCAAAATACACACACTCATTGTGAATATCTGATTTAATGTCCCATAAATGTCCAAAAACCTTTGATTCAGATTCAGTGGATCTGTCAACTTCTGGAATATGATTGTTTACTTTTTCACTACTTGGACTTCACTCCCGAAGATTCTTTGACGCGTCCCTAAAATGCTTTTTGCTTCTTTATACATGTCTATAGCTTGTTCATCACTAGATGCTCTAGTTGAAATATTGTCGAAATAACTGTGTAATTAGTGTAATAAAAATGATCTCAAACAATTAAATGTCAACTGAATATTTTTTATCGTCAAATTGCCAAATGCAATTTTTTAGAAAAGGTACCGTATGTTGTTGTTGTTGTTTGTTTGTTTATTTTTTAAAACACAAAAAGCGAAAAATGCAACAGACGAAGCGCACACTTATATTGATATAATTTTATGCACATTTAAAGAATATTCCCGTTGTTCGTGACAGCGTATTGACTTACCTTTCAAAGATATAGTCGACTCCAATCCAGACCATTGTTTTGCTGTGACCTTTGTTGGATCAAGGTCAAACTCATGTTTAAACGAAAATCCCCAGCTTGAAAAAGTTGTTCCAAAGTCAATTGCTGCGACAACCAAAGTGTCAGACATTTCTTCAAAAACAACGTTCACTGTTTACATATTCACTATGCAAAATAATCTAGATTGGTTCTTTTTAATCGATACACAACCCCGTTTCAATAAAACTTACTTCTATTTACGGTTTGGACCGTTTTCCAAAAACGGTGTAACCACAAAAAGCTAACATTAGAGTGTAAATTGGCAAAGACCTTATCTATTTTATAACCCAATATATTTGTAAATAAAAAAAGGTATGGGCAAAATTCCAAGGTTTTATCAACTTATATTTTGCCCTGTAGTATTTGAATATGGAGAACAGTAAGAACTTTAGTCTTAAACCAACTCTACCCTATATCTGGCAAAGCACACATTTTTATCGTGTGAAGTAATTAAAATCAAGAATTGTCTTGAAAGTAGAAATAATGCAATAAATATAGAAATGTGTAAAATGAGTTCTTCCGAAAATATAGTCTTCAGAAGAAAGTTGGATGAAGGGGACCAATTACAAGAGCTGGAAGAACATAAATATTATTGTTAAAAGTGACAAGTAATATTTGATTCTTTTCATAACAAAACAGGTTCTTTAATTTTCAGTATATACCTTACATTTCTATAAAATTGTCTTTAATAGGGCTATGTCTTACAGTGTTCAAGTAAGGGCCACCGCCTATGAATAAATAAATTTGAAACGCAAAATGTCAAAAACGCGAACATCGTAGTAACCCTTTACCAGCTGATCAATTACCTTTGTCACCATTATAGAGACATGTAAAAATATAAGGTAGAGAAATATTATTGACATACCACGGGTAAAAACCTAAAGTAAAATGAACTGCACCAAATTCAAAGCAATTAAGGCAATTTAAGCGTTCAATTAAATGATTAAGTTATATTACGCGTTTTACGCTTAAGTCATGTCTTGTAGGTTTTAAATATTTGACTTCATGTATATTAATACTCGTTCAATTATGATCAGTTTTCAATTCGTTGTTGTCATTATCAATATACATCAAGTAATAGAAAGAGCATCGATGCACAAGGCTACCTGTTTTGTACGAGAGGGTTTAGTATAGTGTTTTGATGATCTTTCGGTTTTATATTAATAGGCAAAATAAAAACATGTTCCCTATCGTAACAATATTAAACCCCAGAAAAAAGAAACCAATGTACGAACATCCAAATATGACTTTTATATTTGATCTCTTTCCCTGTTGTCAAAATAAGTAAACCCCATGAAAAATTGCCAATCAATGCGCCTGCCTGCACTGTGCAAGTATTGCTCTGACACGATTCCAATGGTAAAGTTTCTAAACTATGATACAAATAAGCAGAAGAAAAGCATTGATGTAAAACATCAAAGGGCGTCCAAACAAGAAATGCAGTAAGTAACGATAAACTTGAAGACATCTGATAAACATATATATTATTATAAACTTTTCAATGGTTAATTAAATTTTACCAGAATTGTATATCATAAATGAATGGGCGGACAAAAGACATGGTCCATCATGAACTTTGGTAGGCTTTCTAGAGATTAGAATATTAATTGGTTTTTTTCCTTGGAACATGCAAAACAGTAGTGAAAATGAGTAAAGTCTGTGTTTTTTTTTTATTATTATTATTATTATTATTATTATTATTATTATTATTATTATTATTATTATTATTATTATGACTTTAACAAATAAATAAACAGTAGATAGTATAATAGTAAAAAAACGGACTATTATAGTAATATTACATGCATTTGTTTCATGTCAAATTAAAAATGGTCGTTATCATTATTACCTGGGACTTAAGATACAGTAGTTATATTTCAAGTTCCAGATAAATACTGAAAAAAGAACGCACACTAGAATGAATAAAATTGGGATGAATTTCAAAAAGTCCAAATTCAGGATTTGTTTTGTTAAACGCGTTAACAAAAATAATGGTACATTGAAAAATCATGAATAAATTTGCATGGCATGTTGATATGGTGAAACATGATTCATCAATATAATTAAAGACTCTTACCTGAATTTTAGACAGGTTTGAGGAAATTCACTAACATCATGTTAATGCGAGTCATAGATATAAAAGCTACTTGACATTTGTGATAAATATTAGAATTATTGTTAATTGATTTATAATGATATCAATCTACTATTTTTTAATTGCTCTGACACACCAGTGTGTTTACATTCCTATCAAAAAACCCATAACACCTCATGTGAAAACTGCAGACGAAAGTTTATGTTGTTAAAATGTCACATAATTCGACAAATCAAAATTCCACTCAAACTTGAAACATAAAAGAAATAAATTCTTACAGCAAAATTTCGGGAAATTAGGGTCAACTTTAATATTCAAGGTAAAAAATGTCAGAAGTGCAATCAAGTCCTAAAAAAAGAAAGGAGCTATTATTTTCCGGAAAGAACCTACGGAAAAGACAATTTCAAAATGATAATACTATGATACATCTATGTCAATTCGTACAAAAATGGAATACGTTTATACTAACAATAATTTTTAGGTTAATTTATAGAAAGTGCAATTATTGTTGATTATTTTGCATTTCATGTCCTGCAAATTTCTCCAGTTTGTTATTTATTACCATAGCGTGACACGAATGACCAATTCATTTTTAATAATCAAAAAACAATCACTACCCTTTTATCAATCGTATTGTCCTTGGCTAAAACTAACGGAAAGAGCCGAAACGTTTCCATTGCTCTTTCACAAAAATGGAATGCATTACATAAAGGGCACCCAATAATATACATAGTTCAGCTTTGTAATTGCATGCCTACTTGTTTTTAATCTTTAATTGATATCAATGAACGACAGGTATTTGAAGTAAATAATACACGTCATTTCTGCAGTTAAACAAAATGCATAAGAAAGCAATATCTACATTTATCATCTACATATTATTTTGTAGTAAACACCCGATACACTACTTCATTTAATCAGTTAAAACCAGTCCGTTACTGCTGATCGACCGCCACAATATCTTACCTTTAGCGTCTTAGGATTGCAAATTATGAAGAAAAAAAAATGTTGCTGTAATTTATCTAAATTGTGAACTTTTACTTGTTGACTTAGTTTTGGGCATCTTGAAATCGTTAAAAGCAAGACAATGTCGGTTAAAACAAAGATATTTTTATAGAGATTTCGTTAATAGATTTGTGATATTGTTTAATTGTCATAACATTTTAATATTAACACTAACAGTCTTCTTAACGATTTATTTTACGGGTAATAATTGATATATAATCATTATTTTAATTGATATATTGATAGATAAAAGTGTATCATCTGATTTTTGCGATACTGTTCTATTCTTTCATTTGGCTACCTAGCAGCCGAGTCTTATATGATTTTGAATAAGACGCATGATTTACTGCGGGTTGAAACGACGTCAATAAAAACACAAGTACTTAAATCATTCACCTACGTCAGCTTTGCACGTCAGGACCAACTTAAAAGGTTTTGCTTTGTTGCAATACATTTTTCTTATCTCCGTATACAAATAATGGACTTTGCAACTGTTTGTAGTTTACCGAGATTTAATATCGCTTAACCAGGCTAAAATTGAATCATGCGTAAACACGTTGTTAGCAGCAACAATAAACCGACCCAAATTGATAGCTGTTGAGGATGCCCTTTGACCAACAAGGGGATTACTGTATTAGGTCAGGATAACACGTTGCCTCCACCTTAAGGGGAACTGTGTTGCATTTGGACAAAACCAATCGTTGTTATAGCTGTTGCATTGCACTATCATAAAACATCTGATTTTTTTTAATATATCGATTATCGATTTAGTGCGGGTTGGTACAATGACCTGGCTTAGAATTGCGTTTTTACACGTAGAAAATCGAGTGTTGACAGGTTGCACGGTTGTCGTCGACCTAGGAAAAATACGATGTTCCATCCGAAATATTGATTTGTTGTTCAAAAACGGTTTAAGTGGGAACAATAATGCTATTGTCAACGTCTAATGATGTCATTTAGCTGCAAATTGATATATACGTAAAAATGACTTTGCAATTTGGACTTATACTGGACTAGTGGCATTCTGCCGATTTGGCGAGTTCAACCCCTTGTCTATATATTATATATAAACTATTTTTTTTTTCTTCTTGAATTACTTTTTACACTATCCAAACACTGTGCCGGGTCCCTTTGAGTACTGCTAGTACGGACGTAATGGAATTTTCGTGTCGTAACGGTTCCCCTTTAATTTCAACAACTGGAGATCGGAAGAGACATTCGTCTAGGTAGCATTTTTATTCGGCTCTTCTGAAGGTATGCAGTACACAGCTGACTATTCACTCGCAGCCAATTTACTTGTGCGTAAAAAATCGTCTGTATTCTTTTAACAATATTGTCTTTTTTGTCATTACCAACACCTGGCTCACATGGAACCATATTGTTCATTTGAGTATGTGTAAAGAAAGAAAAATATGAATTGATAAATAAAAAAGCGTTGTTTTTCAATCCTGAACTGACGTTCGGCCCTATAGACGAATCAACTTTCCAATAGTTTTGCTCAGATTTTTCTTTTGTAAAAAGTTTATGAAAGAGAAATGTTTTCCAAATGTAAGTTTATGTTCCAAATCTTCCACAAGGCAGGACAATTAAAGAAACAATGACAATTTGTAGAAACAAAATCAAGCCAATAAATGACATAAGACGTCTTCAATATATAAATAAAGCGTGACGTAACCGTTACCACTTTTCACATGTAAACATTTTTGAGCAATAGATCTGTACAAGTAGACATATCTATTGAAACTAATTTGAAAGTAATTGCTTATGCGCATGCTGACACGGATCATCTTAGGTTTCCGGCAGGTTGCCTTGGTAGCAACAAATATAGTGGACTGCACGCTTTTTTAAATATGGCTTTCATGATCTATGGAATAATCACCAGTCCAGTAAAGAAATATTAAAAAAATAAATAAATAAATAAAGGAAAATAACTGTCACAGGGAAGGTCAATTAAGGTAACAGGTGTATTGATGCATAAATATGTACTGAAACAAAATACATGAAGCTACAAGCAAATATCTGACTTTGGACGTTCGAAATAATATTTTTCTATTTAATTTTATTTACTAAGGGATCATAAGCTGCGTGGTTATTCAAGGTCCCAAGAGAATATTTTTTTATACATTATGAGGGAACCACTAGGCAATGTTAGATGCTAAATACATAACTATATATAAATAAAAATGTTTCTATCTCACTTTTTGCTGTCATAGATAAGTTTTATATGGATTTTTACTTTATGTTTAAATGTTTCACACATGTGTACTCTTATAACTTCTGCTTACACGTACACAGTACAATTCTAATGTACAATTTGACGATGGGCCGGGGTGCCTCTTTTGGCAAAGTTTAGTTTAAACCGAGGAAACTTTGTCCAAAACGACTTTTGAAAACGTCGGCATTTAAAAGTTCGACAAACCAACCTAATTTTGTCACATGCTGACCCTGACTAAAATTTTACCAAACTCCTCACAGTGATAACTTCCCTTGGCAGATTGTAATCACTGTCATCGCAGAAGTCACGTGATCATGAAAGTCAAATGACGTAACGTCAAAATTGAAATTTAAATATCGACAGTTTCATAGAAAATCTAAATGTAATTTCTCTTTCTGTTTTTTGTTGTTTTGTTTTTTTTTTTTTTTTTTAACTTTTCGTACCTACGTTCGTTACAGTACATAAAAAAATTATCAAAAGTGTACAAAATAATGAAAAATAAATTCAAAACCTAAAAAATATAAAATATCAAACTATTGATACAAATGTTTGTGATGGCAGAGATCTCTGTATTGATAAAGGGAGATCGCTGCATAGGAGATTGAAATTTTACACGGGACCCTCTGAGCGTTCCGCGGCTTCCACCCGATTACAAAACACATTGCACGCTGCAATTCTATCGCAATGGCATTTAGATGACAAATGGACGCGTTATTTTGAAATGTCACATGTAAGCAATTCTTATCCAACATTTATTTTTCTATCAAATATACTCAGAACAATAAATAACATTCATGTATTCTATAGTTATAGATTTTTAATTTATGTCAATGCTAAAGTTAACTTATAGATCAGAGCTATTCCACTTGCCAATCTTATCCCAATCTAATCCCAAGTAAATGGCAAGATTTGGTGTACAATACCATATTTCCAATGAAAAGCAGCACAACCTCATCTTTTAAAGCATCGCTACACGAGTATCAATCCTGTCCAATATGAAGCAAAAGAAGCCACAATGGGTCAAAGTAAATCATACGAAACATTGAACGGTTTGACCCAACAGATGAGTATACCTATCGCTCGCTCTGCTAGCGTACATATGATTAATTATTCAAGTTTAAAGATATATCAATACTCATTCATTTGAGATATTGTATTTATTTTAAAATCAGATTTTGAATCCTTATTAGTCATTGACTGATTTATAATAAATAAAGCATTTGGCACGCACTCATTTGAAGATTTGATCAATCTGGCAATTATACGTTCAATAAGCAGAACGTACACAAGTATATATACTTATATACTATACAAAAAATGCATAAAAAGGTATATCTACATTTATCATCTATTGAATACTTTGTAGTAAACACCCGATACAGTACTTCGTGTATCAGTTTAAAAATACTTGTTCGTTACTGTTGAGTGACTGCCACATTATTTTACATTTGCAAATGTATTCGGTGTCATTTGGATTTTTTTAAAAAGGTTGGTTTTTATACATATTTTATAAACGAAAAATAAAATACATGTATCCATGATTATGTGAATTGTTTTAATACTTTAATAGTTGAAATTTTTAATTTTGGGGGATTTTTTAGCATCTTTAATCGTAAACAGCAAGTTAATTGCTATTAAAACAAATATATATTGATACATATTTTATTAAAGAATTTGTGATATTTAATTGTCATATTATTCTGATTTTATGCAAAGAGTCTTTTTAACGCTTTATTTTACGGGGTAAAAATTGAAATATAAACATTTATGTAACTGATATATTGATAAATAATAGTGTACTATTTACATGATTTTTGCTATACTATTCTATTGTTTCATATTCCTTTAATATAATTATCTTTTTGTCTCTCGGTGACAATAAGTTTTACTCGACATAACATGTTTAACCCTTAGCCAACTAAATATCTTAAATATTTAATCCTCTTTCAATATGCATCATAATTTTCATGGAAGGTTAACAAGCCACTGACTGAATAGCGAACAGTGCAGGCCATGATAAGACGGCTCGGATGTGCCTGTTTATTTTGATCTGCAGTGGTCGGATAGCCAATAGCAAGCTTACTATTTGATATTGATTTTAAAAGCTTTTGCCAAAGTGAAACCTTTTGTTGCTAAAATCATGAAAATTATGTCTTTAGACTTCTTTCAACAATATTATTTCTATTTAAGTTTACTTTAAAAAGTAACCATTATTTGCGGCGAGTGCATTGGTGATCCAAGAGGAATCTTTTATATTATGGTTGAAGAGAAAAATTAGACAATCCATCATGCTAAATATATGATATAAATACTTCTTTGTTTCTGTGAAAAGCATAAAGGTTGTGATTTCTATAATTCCAAATAAGTCACTGTAATTTTTGTCTCCAGTGGTGACTATTGAAACAGATTTTGAAATATAAAAATAAACAATTCTATTTAATTTTTATAACATTATGAGATATTCACAGATCAATTCTATCGATAATTGAGTCCGTTCTACATAACTATTTGTCGAATGTCCTGTACTGAATAAATATCATAAACAAAAGATGCACACACAAAACAAGAGACGAAATATCAAGTTCCAAACTAATTTCAAACTAAATAACCTTATATTAGATCTTTAAGCAAATGATTAAATAAACTAGAATATGAAATTTTATCTTACTTGGTTAAGGTTTTTTCTACAATGGAACACGACAGTGATTCTTCAAGACAATCGACAAAACCTGCAGCAACGACCAGGAAAAAGACATTCCGTTCATCAGGCGTTGTCATTGTTCTTGTGCTATTTCTTTTCGGCTACTCAGCTTTAACGATGAATCACAGTCGTTCTGTTTATGAAGGAGGTATGTCTACAACTAATTATATGTGATTGAATTATGGAATCAATATTTAAAGAATATTCATCAAAATAGATAGTAATTTTGCTAGCGCTCTTTCAATTAATATCAAATCAAAATGAAAAAAGAAAAATGAGAAAAAATCATTACAAGACGACATCTTACTGGGATAGATACTTTAGTCCATTAAAATAAGTCATGTGAGTGCATAGCTATATTTTTAAAAGCTTAAAAATATTTTGACCTCAATTTTTAAACAATTTCTATCAACTAACTATTAATCACGTTTGGGTCCGTTTCCAGATATTTTACCAGTACAAAATGTATTGATGTTATAGGAAAATAAGGACACTTCGTTGTCCAAGTAGGATTTGGGATAATTGGGTTGATAGGCAGACACATTTACCACTCGGTTATCCCTTCCAATATCTTAAAGGTGACTAAATTGCTGGCAAAGACGAAATTTTCAAACATGTAAATGGTTATATAAGGATGATGTTAAAATACTTTATCATAATATGAAAAATAAATATAAACGTTTTTGAAATGAGTCCATTTATTAACTAACTTCTATGTCTATGGGTTTAATTGGATAAAGGCTGTATCCATCTATACATGTATGTCTTGTGGTTTCTTCTTAATCTGTAACGTATTCAACTAAAAGAAAAGGATACAAAGGATAGTGATTGTTGGTAAACTTTGTTATGTTTGTATGTACTTGTATAGAGATAGGTGTATAACGCTTTCTCTTTTCACGCTCTTATTCGTACATTTTCGTACAAAAACGCATGTTGTTTTTTTTTCTTGACAGAGTGCGTGCTTCAGTATTGGTAGACCTTATAGTCAACCAGTTGATGTGTTATAAGAATTAGAAAAAAGAAACATCCAACAATGTAACATTTTATTGCTAGCTGTTTATTCATGAATAAACATAAATAAGAAAGTAGGGACAATAAATCAACTGTTTCATTTTCAAATCTTGATAACAATATAACATAAAAACATTCCAGGTACAATACCGCCTCCTGTAGAAGTTGCATCAAGAGCAGGTCCAAAACATCGCACATTCCATGTCAATACCGAAGGCAGTTATGCTGCCTCGAGTGACAATAGGGAGGGAAATGGAATCAAACCACAGGAACCCAAAGATGTTAACATGACTCTGATAGAATCTTTTCCTGATAAAATAACGGCGTCAATTGGTGATAATGTTGTCAGCAAGGCTAAAATCATTTTAATTATAGCATATATGAGAACTGGTTCTACTCTAACTGGTGCTATCTTCCAGAGTTTTCCAGGAACATTCTATGTCTTCGAGCCAATTAGGCTTATTGTAGGTTCCTTTAATAGTATGGCACGCAACAAAATGCATCGAGGAACATTAAAGTATGCCAATGGGACACAAAGGTTTGTACTGGTTCAATTGACTTGTCATCTTAATTATGACTTTATTACGCAAAACACATTTTAATCACCTCTAAAAGATTAATGTTCATACTTACGTTAAACTTTATGTAATTTATTAAATGAACTTTCGGCATTTGTACCATTTTGTCTCAAATCATAAATTGTTATTGGTTTACAATAAGGTTATAAGTTTAGCCTCGTTTTCATATACAAATTGATAAAGCCCATATCGAATCACTATTGTACACTATCTAACATTATTTTCACTTTATTTTTATACTCTAGTATATTTTTTTGAAGTCTAAAGAAATATGTTAAAACACTTTTGTTCTCCGTCAGGCCTCTTTTATTTTCAGAAATAAAACATTCAGATTACATTCTTTTTACACTCAAATTAACAGAGCTCTGTCAAAATGTAAAAAATGGTGATGTGAAATAAAGAGGTCACTATATAGTGTTGTATAAGATAGTGGTTTATTAAACTCGAAGCCTTTGAAACACACAGTTTGAACACCGACCAGTATAGATTTGACAGTTGTATGCTCGTCTTCTAGTTTTAGTATCGTATAATGTTTAATAACTTCTGCCAAACATATACTGTATATTTTAGGGTGTATTTATTTGGAATTTAACACAACCTTGATTTTATAAGGCTGAAAGAAAAAAAACATTAGTACTGGTATTTGATCTATTACGTAACTATAGATTTGTAATATTGTAATTACACAACTGTTTTGTATGAATTAAAATTATTGTACTTTCGTAGTTTTCATGATTGTGTGTCCTGATTGATCATATCTTTGAATTTTAATTTCATCTTTAATAGAAACGATGTAAATGTTTATTGTATACTTATTAATGAAATATTGAGAAATATTGATTTGTATTTTCATTTTAAAAATTTATTTTTCACTGCAGTAAAACATATATGTTCCGTATTTTCATTGGGGTCTTGCCGGAATACTTTTTTTTCTAAAATCAGCCAATACACACAATTTTAGGGGAAGTCTTTCAAAGAGTAATGTCAAAAAAGAAAAAATGTATATAATTAACAGGAAATTCAAGTTTTTTCTACAAATACAGGATTTATCTTCATCTTGTGGTATAAAAAATCATCATATTTCACTCGTGGCTACCGCCACTTTTTAAATATTTATTTTTATACCACTGGATGAAAATAAATCTGTATTAATAGGAAAAAAACTCGAATATCCTCTATGTAATTTTTAATGTATACTTATTTAATATGTTAGTGTTCCATTTTACTTCGTTAACTGACAGGATCGATCTTTTTAGCTGATTCAACATTACATTTTTTTCTTTTGCAGAAACGTGTTGCTAAAGGATAAACAAAGTATTATACTGGACGAAATTAATAGCTGGCTAAATTGTAAACTAACAGCCTTAAATATACATACATTGTCAAATCCCCATCATGCACAGCATACAAATATCATGGGAGCGTTTACAAATTGCACGAAAGAAGAAAAGAAGAAACAAACGCCTAATTTGCGAAGATGTTTCGATGAAGCAACAAGTTTGTGTAAGAAGGCACCGTTGAGGATTATAAAATTTATACGTTTAAAGATGAAAGACGCTGCAAAGTTGTTATTATTATATCCCAATTTGAAAATAATTCATTTAGTAAGAGATCCTAGAGGTATTATGAACTCTAGATTCAAAATTCATATGGCGTCAGAGGGTAAAATAAAATCTCAAGCAGACGGACATTGTACAACAGTTTATGAAAATCTGAAAATTTCAAAAGAAATAACATCTGAATTTCCAGGCAGACTAAAAATCATTCTCTACGAGGATTTGGCTGAAAGACCTCTGGAAACTGCTCAGGCTATGTTTAGATTTTCAGCAATACCATTTAGTGACTATATACGAACATTCATCGAAGGGCAAACGAGCGCTCAACGAAATTCGGGAAAATACACGACTCTTAGAAGAAATTCCACTGTCACTGCAAATACATGGAGAAAGCAAATAAGATTTAAAGTTCAAAAAATTGTATATAATTCATGTTTGAAAAGCAATAAATTTCTTGGGTACCTTCCGTTATCATCTGAAAAAGACTTAAGAAACCTAACTGTTGCGTCTAGAAAGAAACTCGATGTCAACACTGAACTTTTGAAAAGTAAAATCAAGTATTCCTCTTAATCGTGAATAAGTTGATTGACGAAAAATATATTTCGGATAGTTGTCTTTCATTGTCATATATCGTGTTGGAGTCGAGGGAAATGAAGTGTTATAAGAATAACAAGACACTGGCTGTTCAAAAGTGCCAAATTGAAAATGTTGCCGGCTTGAATTAATTCCTCTTTTGAAACGGCCTCAGTCGAACTAAACATGTAAAATTGAATAATTGTGTGATCTATTCGCCGAATGTTAAAGTTCCAGTTCTAGGTGACACCTTAGTGCTACTTCTTGAAAAGTGATATTTACAAACTGTGATAACTGAAGGTATAAAAAACTATAAAGTCGTTCTTAAAGAATGTTCATGTGAACGGCGAAAGACAATTAAGCTGAATACAATTTATGAGCAGTATTATTTTATCTATTTCAAGTTTGATCTCTTGTATATCAATTTAAATTTATTTTCTTTCCTTTTCTTTCAGACAGTGTGTCATTTTATATTTTATGTACCTGTAATTTCTTTTTTTATCTATTTAAACAGTTATCAGTACATGTATATTTATTAATAAAAGGTTTTTAAACAAGTATTCAATGTTTTAAGTATTTTATTCTTTCGATCAGAGCAATTTTTGTAAACTGAATAAGTTTTTATCGTTGAACCAAATGTTAACATAAGTAAAATATTGTCTCATTTTTCACTCTAGAACTTAAAAAAATCTATACCTATACCAGTGTCATTATGTTTATTCGCAGTTCTGATCAACATTCTTGTATTCTCGATTTCTTGCATAAACATATCGTTAACCAAACTGTACCATATTCTCCAATCAACATGGCATTTTTTTGTGCACGAAAAGGTTTACATAACTCTTCGTCAATATTATCGGTTTTCTAAGACTATTATTAACCAGTTACAAAAGTTAAATTGTGGTCTTTTTTCGCTTCCGTTTCCGATTATGGCAGTTTTGATAAATTTGTAAACAAAAAATTGAAATATGGTGTAATTAGTGCTTGGAGACTGAAATGGGCCAAAGAAACATAGTTATGAAGTAATGAAGTTATGAACTGTAATCTGATATACTGAAATGACACTGTTCTTGATTTCTGAAAATGTACACATTTTGGCACTTTATTACCCGTAATTTTCGTGCACTGTACTTATTATAGAAACTTTCACGCGCTCAATTTTAAATCTATACTGAGCGGAAAAGGTTTGTTACCGTAATTATACCGTATTAATCATGAGTAAATCTGAAGGCGCTAAATGCTCAACACCTATATCAGAAGGCAAAAAACGGGAACTTTCCTCACCTATAGAATGTACCGACTTTAAAAAAACTAAATCGTCTGAAACTCATATTATCCTGTCAAAAGAGGTCAAAAGAGGACATTGCTGCCATTGCTGACGTTCTGAAAGATACATTTAGACCAGAGCTGTTAAGCGTAGATGTCCAAGTTCAGGCTATTGTTGATGGAGTTCTTACAGGTCTTAACAAAAATACATCATCTTGAACAGTAAAGTCGACGAATTTGTCTTCGTATATCTGGTGTTCCTGAAAATGGTGACGAAAATATCCTTACAACTGACCAGACTTCTGTAAAGTCTCCTACAGTTAACCCTGAACCTACTGACGGAAAAATCTTGCAAATAGCGGAAGCACTAAATGTCCACCTAACAAGCTCAGATATTGACCGATCTCATCGTGTTGGCAAACAACATGCTCTTTAAATCAAGGGTAGAACTTAAAAACCGTGCTTACAAATGTGTCTTTGTAAATGAGGACTTAACATCTCTTTTTGTAACATTCGGATTGGTTTACATGTCATTTATGTCATTTTTTTTTCACTTTTGTATATGTATGCATGCATGATCGTGTTTTACATGTTCCTGCTGTCATTGTCAACAGTTTCATAGATATTTACAACTCTCTTATACGATTGTGCATACTCTTATTTCGTGTTCATGGATCAAACTTTTACACATTTCACCCTACCACACATCAATATATCCTTTTATACGGTAATTTGTATATTTTTTCTACTTATACTATTGGTAATTGCCGGTGATGTACATCCGAATTCTGGCCCATCAACAAATTCAGACAGCTCTTTTGCATCTATTTCTTCTACTAGTACAACTACACTATCAGAATTAATGAAAAGTTCAAGTTGTCTATTTTTTACACTACAATGTACAAAGCCTCATAAGTAAAATTGATATCTTGGAAGCAGAATTTGGTATGTTTGATATTCTGGCGTTCACTGAAACATGGTTAAACTCTAACATTTCACAAACTGAAACAAACATTCAATCCTTTCATACTCCAGAAAGAAAAGATAGGTTTGAAAACAACTATGGAGGTGTAATTTTGTATGTGAAAGAAAACCCTCACTATAAACGGAGGTTAGACCTCGAACCAAGAGGACTAAAATTTATTTGGATTGAAATCATGCCGTCTCATTCAAAACGTATCCTTTTTGCTGCCTTTTATCGCCCCCCTCCCCCACCCCCCTACTCAGATACTTCCAATACTTATCTAATTGAAGAATCTATCGGCCTAGCCTTGATACTGGTAAATCAGACATTATTGTAGCTGGCGACTTTAATTTTAATGAAATGAATCCACAAATGCCCCGAACATTAAACTCTATCTGTCAGCAATTTAATCTTTAGCATATTATTTCTGAGCCTGCCCACTATACAGAGTCATCTTCTTCTATACTTGACCTCATCTTAGTATCTAGTAGTCAAAATGTATTAAAATCTGTGGTAGGTGAACCAGTTCTTGACCAGAATCTAAGGTTTCATTGTCCTATTTATGCCTTTCTTAAGTTTTCAAAACCTTGTGTTCAGTCTTTCAAGCGTCTTGTATGGCTGTATGACAAAGGTGACTATAATTTACTTAGAGATAAAATTTCTGCTACAGATTGGGATCAATATCAACAACTACGCTTCCTCATTTACAAACAATATACTTAAACTTGCAAAGCAGTGTATACCAACACGAAACATATATGTAAAACCAAATGATAAACCATGGATATCGTCACACATTGAAAAGAAAATTACTAAACGCAAACAATATTACCATAGAGCCAAATTAACACAAAATCCTCTTCACTGGCATAAATTTAAAACATTAAGAAATGAGGTCGTATCTCTGATTCGCACTGCAAACAAAACTATTTTCAAAAATTGGCCGAAATCAGAAACTCTTACATCAAAAGACTTGTGGAAACTCCTTAAAGATTTTATCTCTCCGGCTGATAAACAAACTATCCCGCCTCTATTCAATCCTGCTACATGTGAACTTGTTTTTGATTCATTTTCAAAAGCAAATATTCTGAATGAATTTTTTCCTGCACAAGCTTCAATTAACAACCAAAACACTGAATTTCCTAGAAACCTTTGCCAATCTCAAAGAAATAAACTAGAAATGTGTTGCATATCCCCTCAAGATAAAGAATAGAGATAAACAGAATCCCTAAAGAAAGCCCAACACGGCAAAATTGACAATGTTGCAGGCTCGGTTTGATTGAGCCTGTTCATGGACGGTACTGGATAGTGCAAGTTACCGTCCACGCCCCCTAGCACCGGCTTCAGCAGAATTCAACATTATACATGAACTGGTACAATTTGAAACATCCGCAGATGTGTTCATATGGCGGTTGTCATGGAACCTTCAATGTGACACGTAAGTGCCATTCCATGAAAAGCGGCATATGGTCCCCAAGTAAAAAAATGCGTGTGCCCTAAACGAGAAAACAATGGGCTGAACTAAATAAAATTGAATTTTGAAAGGGGATCAGAGGTTATGAAGCCTGCATATCACAGATAATACGTCAAAAGACAAATTTAAAAAGCAGGCAACATATCCTAAGGGTGATTAGACAGTATTCAAGTAGGAATACTGGAACCACCCAAATTGAAAAAAGCCAAATAGAAGAAACTAAAAATACCACATAACATGAATACACAACAATTATGTCGTGCTGAACGATCTTCAAGGATCGAAAATATAACATCTTTGATTAAATGTACGGGGCGACTTTTTACGGCCGCCACACGGCACAAATAACACTGATGTGACCATAAAATAGAGATAAACAGAATCCCTAAAGAAAGCCCAACACGGCAAAATTGACAATGTTGAAGGCTCGGTTTGATTGAGCCTGTTCATGGACGGTACTGGATAGTGCAAGTTACCGTCCACGCTCTAAGATCTTTAAAAACAAACAAAGCTTCAGGACCAGATGGAATAAATAACAGAATACTACGAGAAACTGCATCTGTTCTTAAATACCTTTTTTGTTCTCTATTCAATCAATTTCTTCAATGCAGTACCATACCCCTAATGTGGAAAGATGCAAATGTATGTGCAGTCTTTAAGAAAGTGACCTCTCATTACCGAACAATTATCGACCAATATCTTTACTTTGTTGTATAGAAAAGGTACTTGAGCGTATTATATTTAAATATGTTTTTAACTTTTTTCGTGATAACAAATTTCTTTCTTCTGTACAGTCTGGCTTTACACCAGGAGGCTCAACAGTTAATCAGCTTACTTATTTATACAATACCTTTTGTAAGACTCTCGACGGCGGATTAGAAGTAAGAACAGACAGTATTCTTTGATATAAGTAAAGCTTTCGACAAGGTATGGCATGATGGTCTTGCTATAAATTAAAAAATGCTGGATTAAATGGAAAATTGCTGAACTGGTTCTCTGATTATCTTTCTAACAGACGTCAATGTGTCGTTCTTCCGGAAGCTCATTCTAATTGGTCAACTGTAAATGCAGGAGTTCCTCAAGGATCTATTCTTGGGCCTCTGTTGTTCCTGGTATACATTAATGATATTGTTGACGATTTAAACTCAAGCATACACCTCTTTGCCGATGATACTAGTTTGCACATAATTGTTGACTATCTAATAGCTGCCGCGTCAACTCTTCAATCTGATATCGACAAAATTTCAGGTTGGGCTGATAAATGGCTTGTAACATTCAACCCTTCTAAATCGGAAACTATGATCATGTCACGCAAAACAAATAAGCCTTATCATCCGCCACTTCTAATGGGTGATCAGCCTATCTCCTCAGTAAATAGTCATAAACATCTTGGTTTTTACTTTTCGGGTGATTACTTTTGGCATATACATATTAATTCTATCAAAGAGAAGGCTTGGAAAAGAATTCATATCATGAGAAAACTTAAATTTACACTAGACAGAAGATCACTAGAATTAATATATCTATCATTCATAGGACCTCTCATTGAATATGCAGATGTAGTCTGGATCAACTGTACATAATAAAAACTTGATAAAATTCAACACGAAGCCGCCCGTATAGTTTCAGGGTCCACTAAACTTGTATCACTTCAGGAACTTGAAAGAGAAGTACTTTGGGAATCCCTCGAAAGCCGTAGACAGAATCACAAACTTATTTTGTTTTACAAAATGAAAAACGATCTCACACCAGATTATTTATCGTCCTCAGTTCCACCATCAATTGGAGAAACGTCTAGGTACAATTTACGAAATGCTTCTGACATGCAAACAATACGCA